TAGATGTGACTTTTCCTCCTCATTAAAATATATACTTTTAAAGAAATTAAATGTTGATGTCTGAATCTGAATGTGATATCATCTAAGCTATACTTTTACGAAAATTTATTGTTTAAATCTGTATCTGAATGTTGTGAAAACCACCTAAACTTTTCATCATATAATTTATCAAGGGACATTGCATGGAAATCAATGACGCAATACGTTAAAACATGACGTCACAATGAGTCGACTTTGCTGAATAACTAAATTCTTCAGTCTTCTGGAATAAAATGATAATATGATAAATTTTCAATTAATATTTATAGTAAAAAACAGTCAAACGATATAAGTTTACATTTAAGGAATGTTTTTCAGTTTTGTGTGAGTTATTGGTGTGTGAATCACACAGACTTGTCACGTAGGCATATTTCATGAAGCGCGCTAGCGCTTCATGAAAAATATGCCTACGTGCAAGTCTGTGTGATTCACACACCAATAATTCACACTAAACTGAAAAACATTCCTTATATTTACATTTTACATGTTTGGAAGCAACTAAAATATGCTAAATATTTGAATTTCTCGCTGCCCTATATCCTTGCACTTCAACTAATGTCGCTGGAGCCTCATTGTGACGTCATGTTAACGCACGTTTCTCCGTGTATATTTCTACGCGTGAGTATACACGAAAATGATTTTCAAATCAATTTCACAGTAAGCTTACTAGAAAAACACAGCGAATGTAAATATTTATAAATGTACTTATTAAAACGAGCGTCTCCTTCATAATGGACGTGATATTGATTTTGTGTTCAAGAAGAGATTTTTTAACGTTTTATTGAAAATAATTATGCAGCGTTTTTAAAATATGTTTTAGATTATATATTTATTATTGTGAATGTTGACATCAGTGTTTTCAAGACAGGTTTAAATTAAACATGCAATTCAAAGGCAGTTCCAGGTCCGTTGCGCCCCCTCCCCCAATCTGCCGTTTAATTTTAAAAATTTACTTGCAATTTGTAAAACAAGCATGTAGTTAATTTTTTTTGTTACCAACATTAAACACAAACTTATCAGTAGATCTACACGTATGGTATCAAATATTCCGAAATATTATTTTACCGCCATGGCAATGTATTCTAAAATTCCTGCAAGGTGACGGTTGGTTTTCTAAGTTGAAGGAAGGGGGCACATTTCATAGCAGATGTTCGTTCCCTGGACCCTACCAGGATTGTGCTCCAAACCCCCATGAGGCTTCAACGCTGCTTCAGACAACTATAAGTTTACAGTTTAGATAATGAAATAATTTTGACAAGTTTTGTATTGCTACTGTTAAAATTTGTGAGTGTTTTCGGAAATTTCTATGTAATTTTAAAAAGAAACATGTGATGCAATCAACTTTTTATTTGTGTCTGAATACATAGATTAACATCTTTCTTTACACAGACAAGTGAAGGCAATTTTAACATATGTGAATCCGCTGTATATTTAAGAAATAAAACAAGGATAATCATGCATAATTTTCTGCCAAGAGACATGCTTTTCCCCCTCCGCTGCATACAATCGATATATTTAGCTCGATTAGGACTTTTTCAGAAATTAATTAAGTCATTTTATTATTGCTAACAACTATGTTAATCTAAATTCTTTGAATACGCATGCTCGGCTTCATATGGATGTGCATTCTGCGAAAACTACTATAGATACTAAAAGTAGATACACAAGTTCGTTGTATCATTAAATAACTATTGTTATACCTTTAAAAAAATTCTTCATATACAAATCTATACGAAGAAAGTCTAACATTTTTAATGTTTTGCTAAGCGAGCATAAAAAAAATCGATGTTGGACCGCTGAGTGCGATTTTGGACCGCTCGGAGAGATGTTGGACCGCTTACGTTACAGAAAGGACGGAACTTAATCTCATTTTCATTCAGAAATGATGTTACATTACGGAATACAGTGTAAAATACATGTATAGCAAATTAATAAAAAAAATAAGAAAGGTATATATCAAAACATTTATTGACAGAGTTCTCGGCCTCAGGCAGACAGTCTGGTTCTTGGTTCCGACAAATGTTGCCCTCGAACTCAATAAATGAATAATATGTTTTTTTTCTTGTGTTATTGTGTATGTTACAGTTTAAAGATAACTACATAGATATGTATTTGAATTTCCCTTTTTGACGGAAAAGCCCTAGTCATTATCTGAGTGTTCTAAACAAGGACAACCTTGGGAGGTTTTTTACGTCTAAGCACAACCAAAGATAGACTCTAACATCTGATTGGTCAATTCAGCCAATTCTACAAATTCCAGAAACAAGAATTTGCACTGAAAATAACGAATAAATCCGTTAAGTGTACATGGCTCTTTAACACTTTAACAGTTCTTGACAAGGACCAAGCTTCTTCACTAATCGTGGCTTCTTCACATTCGGAACTCACTGGATTTCTTTACACAACATACACTTAATTACAGTATTTTCTACATTCCCGTTAACTCCCCTATATTTTCTTTGCTAGGTTGCGACGAAATTCTATTCTTAAACCACCTCATACAATTCATCAATCTGCATCTTCACAATATTATAGAGTCCCCCTCTCCCCAGTAAAGATCATAAACGTTCCGTTGCACCAAAGGGTCAACACCCCCGTCCCTATGTGTCTATAAAACACACTTCACAAAACAATTACATGTATAATTTGATCACACTCCAGTCTTGGAAAAAATAAAAATATTCAGCAAAATCAATCAGTTGAACACGGACTATCCTTTCTGTGTTAAAAATTGCTAAGGCGCTAGCTTACCAATCAGCTGTTTCAGAGGTATATTTTAAAATAATATTTCATTAAAACAACTTTATTTAAAATTTATTTTGTTAGAAACCTGATCTCGCTACCTAATGGTTATTCGGGAACTAAAAACCTAACCGGAAAAAAATGCACGCCGTAGTGACGGTGCACACATGACACAAAACATTAGTTACATGTAACTGCAAAAGTATCTCAATAGGTAGCTTATGAAAAGGTTAAATAAGAAAAAGGGACCTGAACTAATATTTGATATTTTTAGATTAAGTGTTTTTTGTCATTCTGCATTTCGATTATTTGCATTTGCTTCATTTAAATTGAAAAAAAAAAATATATGGAAGTGTGTGTGTGTGTGTGGGGGGGGGGGGGGGGGGTAGTGATTATCAAGATGCACAGTTATGACGACAAATGAACAAGTTTATATCATGAATTTAATTTCAAACTAGAGACAGTCCTTTCCTATTTTGTGTTGATCTCCTCTCGACTTTGACCATTGGTCGATCTCTTACAGCCGACATCAATGCAAGTGACTCAGAAAACAAAACGCACAGACTTCTTTAGCTGAGATGGATAAACTATGTAAATCATACACATAACATTTCAATATAGTACTAGTATAATAATTTTTTCTACAAGTCCAGAAAATCATGCTTGTTTGACGGTACTACTATATTGTACTTGTCTACTAAATTCTGGGATCCCTCCCCGAAAATTCGTGTTTTTTTACCTCCCGCTTGAAAATCAGGCGGTATCAACTACATAAACTATACGTTATTTTTTTTAAGGACTCACCTCATTCATCTGGATGAATAAAGTTTCGTAGATTAGCGTGTTTGATACAATCATTTGTCAAAAATTATATCCATGTATTTCTGAAAATTATTCAACTATTTCAAACTATCAACAATGTATGATGAATTAAAAGATAGTTCAAAATAGTTTCCTGTAATATTTGCAGGATTAAGTAAATAGTTCTCGGTTAAGAGAATTTACAATCTTCATCTCACGTAACGTTAAAATCAGTAACGTCGTGATGACGTCGTTACGTCAAAAGTTGTAATTTTTGAAGAAAATGCACCATTTTCCCAAACCTCTGGCGGAAAAACGGTAAGAGATAATTCAAAAAAATAAAATTATTTTGAAAGGACACATCGTGGGCAAGTTTGTAAAAAACTTTAATCAAATTTACAGACAGGGCCGCCTCCTTATACATACTGTACCCAGTTCTTTGCACTTGACGTAAGAGATCGTCTTATACTTTTTAAACATTTTAACCCCAGACATAACTTTTGAGTGGTTAGTGCTATAGAAGTATTACCGGTCTTTTCCACAGGCAGATTTCTTGGGGCATGGCCATCCTTTGGGTATGTATGAATAATTTTGACCCTTTTTCCTTGACCTTTGAGTGTAGCATGGCCATCCTTTGGGTATATATGAATAATTTTGACCTTTTTCCTTGACCTTTGAGTGTGACCTTCTTTTAGAAAGCTTTACCTTGATCATAGTTAACCTTTGAATGGTTATTGCTAAGGCTATTTATCATATTTCATATATATCTATATTCCTTGCGACTATACACCATCTTTTGGGTTTCAAAAGTCGTTATGTTGGGTATCAGCAACTAAGTCACTTAGGCTTTGACATAATTAAGAGTTTGACTTACTTTTTAAAATTGTTTAACCCAGATTATTATGTAATTAAACTCCTTGATTACAATTTATGCTTGTCGAACCTTCCATATCCTATCCTGTAGCATATATAAAATAAAAAAATATATATATATATATAAGGCTATCTTTAATAAAGAATGTTTGTTTGCCATCTCCCGACTCAGGGTAAAATTATAAGGTCGGTAGGTACGTGGTAAAAGCTTCTTTCAAAAAACTTTCAATATATTTGTTGATGGGAATAAGAGGAATAAAAAAAATATCGTTTTCTGAAATGCAAAAAAAAAAGAAAAGAAAGGAAGAGAGAAAGAAAAAAATTGAGTTCGGCAGCCATTTTTTAATTTTATTTTTAAATATGGCCTTGTATAAAAATATTAAGAAATACAATGTTAATCACTTTATCATCCTTGAAGTTCTCTGGGGTATCATAAAATAATTTTATAAAAAATTTCAAAGGAACAATTAAATTTACATGCAAAGAATTGGACACTTTTAAAAAATATTCATAAATTGTCTAAGTCCTCATTTTGTTAATTTATTTCTCACAAAGTTAAAACATTTATTAAGACAAGTTCTGCTGAGAAATTATTTACACTACAGCATACCATTAAAAATACTCCAAGTAACTAATATTGTATAAAATTAGTAGACAAGTCATATAATCTATATATAGGTATGTTTATATTAAAACGGTATTCAAGCGGGATATTGAACATGACGGAATTAAGTCTAAGAACTTACTCTTTATTTTAAATTGCGTTGACGTTCACAAACTATGCATTTTTCTTCCACAACTTTTATACTTTAATACTGAGTGATGTTAGGAATTATGCTTCAGGATTTTGATACATCAAATACAATGACATGTTTAATAGAGAGTGATCTGAGAAAACATTCGGTGACATGTTAATGGTTATCTTGATTCCTGATGAGCAGTGTTCGAATCATCTATTGTAATAACGGTCTCTTGATCTTGATCTGCGATGAGAATGGCGGTCATACCTATCAAAGTCTCGTGATCTCTCGCGATACGGCGGCGGGTCACTGTATCGTGATCTCCGATGACTAGATCGTCTATTCCTTTCTTCATCAGAGTAATCATCGTCATCAAAACTACGATCCATGTATCGCTCCCGAGATCGACTGTAGTAACGTTCTCTTTCACGATCATAGCTATGGTGATGTCGTCCACGATGACTATCGCGATAATCGTTTCGCCGATCATCGTCGCTATGGTACCCGCGACGATTACTATGGCTATGTGCTTCTGACCTCTTTGACGACCTTTTCTCATTTCTGTAGCTGTTACGACTGTTAACAAGTCGAGCATCGTCACGTGAGTGGTGTGGATCATCTATGTCTTTTTTGCGATGAGGGCGATAATCGATGTCATCTGACCGTTCATCGTACATGCGATGTGAAGATGCATCCCGGACAGAGTGTGATTTTAACTGATAGTCTTGTCTGCTGTTTGGGTGATTAGATTCGGCATCATATTGGGGCGGATCATAACGGCTAGCCAATGTAGGACCTATACAAAAAAAAACAAGAAATTTTAATCTTAAAAGTTGGATGATATTGATGTCTTTAGCTACGTGAATCAAACTGTGGACAAAACCATATGTTCAAATACTATAAATTAACAAATACCTATATGTATTTTTAAATCTGCACGGCGTCTGGCTTGTTTTTCGGCATATTTTCTACAGCAGACGATGATTACAATGAGAATAACGATGAAAGCAATGGCTCCCAGACAAATCCCGATGATTGGTCCGATGATTGGACAGCAGTAACGATTCAGGGCAGGTCCGCAGCAACCAAAAGCGCAGTACTTCAGGTTCCGGTATATACTTCCGGCACTGTATACGCCTCCTGAGTTCGTGTAGCATTGCTCTGCATACAGACCTAGTTAAATTAATGAAAGTGAAGATTTGATAAAGCTATATATCATTAAAAATCTACATTTGTACTGATGGCCAATTCCATTGCATCAAGAAAACATATGTCTCTGACTTTGATGGGGCTCTCCGTCTGTTAATTAGCTCGTTTGTTTTTTCGACAATCACTGGGTTGATTTTGAACTACTTGTCATAAAGCATATTTGCCAGTTTTGTGTCGAATATTCATATAAGTTTGCTCGATGAAGGGTCGTTTTCTTTATCAAAGAGATTTGAAGCATTGTTTAAAATTTAATGGTCTCTTTCAAAAAGTTAAATCTTCCACGCAAAAAAAAATTGGGACAAAAAAGATGATAAAGCTGAGGACGATATAATATTGTTCTGCCACCTACCTCTGAATCAGTTTCTAAAACTTATCATATTTGAATAATATTTCTTAATTATATGAATATTTATGTGAATTTTCATCAAACAATTAATTTTAAAAACAAAGAGAGATAACTATAATTTTGGTAAAACTTCAGTGCTCAATAAACGAAAAATGGGAAATGTTTTTTTTTTAATCCTCCAAGAAATAAATATACCTTTTTTACGAACTGAGGTGTTACTTCACAAATTCATTTCAAAGTTTTGTTTCAACCGGCGGGGGGGGGGGGGGGGGTACAGATAAAAAAAAAGGAAAAAAATGGACATTCTTTTTACCGATTTCAATTAAAACAAGTATTTAAAATGTATTTTATCAATTACAAATTGCATTTTACTTATAATCACTAAGTTCAACATACCTAAAGATTTATAAAGGTCATTTATATCCCCTTTCCTTGGTTTTAAATTATCAAATCTACTGCTAATAAAATATAGGAACAGAGAGATGACGTATACCTAGTTTTCTTTTTGAACAAAGAAAAATCTTCATTTCTTATTGTACAGACATTTTGTTTTAATTCATGCATGGCTCCTAGAGTTAGAGTAAGCGGTAATTGGGGATCAAATTTAACTTTAATGTGGAGATAAAGGTGTAGTCTTTTAAAAAAAAAATCTTCCCAATAACAGAAAAAAATTAAGATTTTTTATATTTCCATGGATCGAATCATCCTCGGGTGTAAAGTCTTTTTTTCAACTCATGACGCCAGGGGGATTGGTTGGACAACAATGAGCAAAAAAATTACAATAGAAATACACTCCTTCTCCTGTAGGTTATATAACGAGACAGAAACACAGACAGACAGATAGACAAATAGACAATACGCACCTCACCACCGTAAACACGACAAACACAGATAGATAAATAGACAATAAACACCTCACCACCATAAACATGACAAACACACACAGACAGATAGACAAATAGACAATACACACCTCACCACCATAAACACAACAAACACAGACAGACAGATAGACAAATAGACAGTAGAAACCTTACCACCATAAACACGACAAACACAGACAGACAGATAGACAAATAGACAATAAACACCACCATAAACGTTACTGAATCTTTGACCAACAAAAATTTATTAGGTCATGAAAACTTTTGGTAGTTGTCAATTTAGTACGGTACGGGATATAGAATGCAAGTAAAAAATGATTTTTTGTTCGCTGTTACCTAAAGTTCTTTTCGAGTATTTGGTGGCTTTTACAAAGATAAAATAGGTATATTATTTATGGTTGTAACTGCATTTCGTACCATTAATTTTAACATCGTATGCGTCATATACAGATATATGAGAAATTTCATTTATTTTACAACTATCCGATTGCAACAAGAGACAATTTCCATTTCAACTTAAGTATATACATGATATATAGTCATTTATAAATATATTTTTTTCATAAGTCCTACACGCCAGTTTAGATTTTGTATTCAAATACCCCCAAAACAAGGACATGATATTGTTTTTTCAGATTTTGCATACCTGTGTACATGCACAGGTAAACCGGAAAAAGATACACTAACTTACCTGAGACGAGAAAGGCGGCGGTGATGAAGATTTCATACATTTTGTCCATGGTCAGTTAATGATCTTTTCTATACAGTATATTCGAGGTTTGGGCATTATAACCAAGGCCAAGCTCTGTCCAGTACACCACTCTCCACGGCTTTGTTTACGGTCGCCATTTTAGAACAGGTAAAAAAAATCAATCAACAGGGACCATGTCAAAAGCTGACGTACCGGTAGCCTGTAGGTATGATTTGTAATGACGTGTTTCTTCACTGAGCCTATAAAACACTGCTGGAATTATTTACACATTATTATTTCGTATTATATTTATATATGCATGTTTTAATTAATTTTATTTTATGTAATATGTTAATTGTTGTATTCATGACTATATGCCAGTGTATGATGGTGTTGTCAATAAAATGAATTGAATTGAACTATTCTAATTATTCCATAAACTTATATGTTTGTTTAGAATATAAAACACATGTAGCATCGATATAAAATACATGTTGCATATGTAGCATCTAGCTGTTCAAAAAAAAAAAAATAAAAAAAAAAATAAAAAAATATTTAAGATTTTATAAACGCTAAAAGTTGAATATTGTACTTGAAAAAAAAGGAATAAAATAAGATAGTACTAAAAAATAAAAACTAGAAACATCTGTAATACAAGTCACACTAGAGACGTAATTTGAAATTATTTTGTTCAGAAGCTGAGTAGATTAGGCAACAGGCATATGTAATGCCTAAAAATATAAAACACGTGAAGTCACAGTAAAAGATCTCCCCTTCCCCTTTTTTCTACCTTTGTTTAAATTGCATTGCCAATGCATAAAATTCTTTTGATTAGAATATATCTAAAAACAAAATTACTTATACGGTATTAATTTTCATCTACTTACATGTAGCACAGCAAAATGAATGAAATCTAAAAAAAAAAACAAAAACAAAAAAAAAAAAAACATCATAGGAAAAAAGAATAATACGCTAAAAAAAAATTGATGCAAAGATGATTCTATAATTTAGAGAAAGAAATCTTAAAAGAGCGAAATTTAAATAACGACGAGGCCAATAATCTTATGCATGTATCTAAGCGTAACCTTTCTGACGGTAAAAGCCCCCCCTCCCCCCCCCCCCCAGTAATGCTCTGATATAGAACATATTAATATTACTGCATTGCTATTGATAGATCTCCTCACAAAATGTGTTTTTTTCCCCAAATTTTATGAAAATTATACTTTGAAAAAAAAAACTATATGTCAAATAATAGGGGCTTGTCTTCCGGATTGATAAATGATATATATATATATATATTTTAATTTGTATCTACAAGATTACATTAAATACACTCTAAAAGTTGCTTTTATAAAGATTCTGACAATAATCAGGCAAGAAAAATAATGTTTAAAAAAAAAAGGACTACACCTATATACATAAACTCTCAAAGGGACGTAAGTTAACATCTAGGAAAAAAATACCCCTTCCCACTTCAGCACCTATGGACCTTAAAAAAAAAAAAAAAAAAAAAAAAAAAATTATTTTTCTTGCCTGATCATATCAGAATCTTTATTAAAGCAACTTTTAGAGTGTATTTAATGTAGATACAAATTAAAAAAAAAAAATTTACATCATGTACATAGACATTTATCAATCCGAAAGACAAGCCCCTATGCACCAGGGCATCCCCCCTTTTTAAACCGCCAGTGCAAGTTGTGCAACATTTTACATATTCAGTGTATATGAGAGGCCTGTATGTTCTTTCAAATATTTTTTAAGATCAATTTACAAATAAATATATTTTTATTTGGTATTGAAAAAAAGGGCAGATGTTAGCAATCAGAGAATGACCCTGGCGTATCATCGTAGATGCGAGTAAGTATTTCGGAAATAAAACATCCGTGAATATACAAATCCGTAGTTTAGTCCATCCTTAGATGGAAAGATAACTTTTTGACTTTTTCCGTTTTTCTTGGATACAAGTTTTTTTTTGTTACAGTATCAGTAAAGCTTACTGGAGTTAGAACAGTCAAAGCATTTGTAAGTATTGCTTTATTTTAACATAATTATTTACTTTGAGAGATGCCCACACCTCCACCGAACCATATCCATGTGTGACAACATTTTGTTAGCCACGACACCCACTCTCCATGCCTTCCTAAACAGTGCTTAGCTCTGGAGTCAGTATATTTTTTTTTATATTTTCTGTCAGTATTAATAATAAAAAATGTAATAATCCAGATTTCGTATTTCAATTTAATGTAAATTCTTTAATAACTTTAGAATGAGAGATTTCGGGCGGCCAGGTGGCTAGGGTAAGGCCTATAGCAGCTTTTTTGAAATTCAGAACTGTATCGTGTTCTCCAGAAGTCCCTAAATAATAATTATAAGCTAAAGTTATGAGCATGCTGGGTACAAGATGGGTGTGGTTATACAGTACTACAGTATACAGTTATGGAATGGGTACGAGGGTGAGGGAAATAGAATGTTCTATCGTTAAAATGATAAATGTCCTACGGACCCGGTTTAACAATTGAATTTGTTCCATGTATTCACAATATGACAAAATAAACATGGGGGATAACTAATGTACTCAGTGCATTCACTATTGACAATCCAGAGAATTCTGATTGTATATATTATACATTTATTGACTGAGTTCGAGGGCAACATGTGTTTTGTCGGACCCAAGAATCAAACTGTCTGCCTGAGGCCGTTAGGCCGAAGGCAGACAGTTTGGTTTGAAGGTCCGACAAAACGCATTTTGCCTGAGAACTCTGTCAATAAATGTTTTGTTATACCTATCATTTTATTTTATATTTTTTGACATACATGTATTTTGTACTATATTCCGTAATGTAACATAGATCTGTCACTGTTTCAAACCAAAGAATGAAAACAAGATTAAGCTCCGCCCATTCTGTGACGTAAGCGGTCCAACATCTCTCCGAGCGGTCCAACATCTCACTCAGCGGTCCAACATCGATATTTTTATGCCCGCTCAGTAAAACATTAAAAATGTTAGACTTTTTTCTTTATAGATTTGTATAGGAACAATTTTTTAAAGGTATAACAAATATTATTGTTAAAAGTTATGGTTATACTCTTTCAATGTACTGAATTTTCAACACATGTATCCATTTATCATTTCTATGCATTTTTTTAAATTAATCATTTTTACATAGTATGTTTTTTTTCTTCAAACTATTGTATACATATTATACATTCAAACATCTTCAAAGACATGTTTGTGTTTAAGATTTCACTTATTTTAATGGAAATCAGATCTACGAGGGCCGTTCAAAAATTACGCGGACTGTGCTATTATTTACTTTTACAGACGTCATATAGTTATGAAATTTCACAGAAATATGTATCTTAAAGATTCCAATAAATTTTGGGCAAATTTTCTGTAATTAAAGAAAGGCTTGGGAGGTTTTACATTTTAACATAGTTCGATAATCATTATAATTACGAGTAAAAAGATATACAGCACAGTTACTATCTCTTTCGCTGACTAGAGATATTACTAAAAATAGCTTAGTTTACACCTGAGAGCTCGCACTGAAAATCTCTGTATACCGGAAGTGACGTGTGTGACGTCACAAGTGTGACTTGCAGAATAAGTATTATATAAGTTAATCATCAACACCGTCACCTTTGGCGCTACCCTTTGAGGTTTGAAAACTGCAAGACGCGATAAAATGTGAAGATAATAAGCAGTGGTCATTTTCAAAACTAATTTGGCGTCCTGTTTTCGTTGCCTACAGGCCTTGTAAAATTTTAAAATCAAACGCATGCAGGCAGTACGTTAGTTTCAATTTTTGATTTCTAATCCGATTTTTTTTTCTTTATTCTCTCTTAATTTTTTTGAGTAATTTATTTTCGGTTTCGATCAGTTTTCCTACTCCATCTTTGTTCTTACACATTTAATTTACTAAAAATTTCTTTTTTTTTTTAAATTCGACCATAACCTTTAAAGCAGTGGTACAAGCACCACAACCCCCCTTCTAAAAAAAAAACATCGCTCATATATTTGATCAATTAAATTGTAATGAAGTGCCGGATAATTGTTTTGAAGTTCACATCATCGGTAAAGTGCATGTTGTAATTTTTTTTTTCCAAACCCCATTATTTCCGTATTCTTTTTCAATCATTGATGTTATTATCAGAAGATCATAATAATTTGACATTTGGAAGCTGTTCACCCCTTTCTTAGTGTTGCCGTAACCCTATCTCAATTTACTCTGCGACTGTATTTAATCACTCCTTATATTTACGCTTGTGATCTCTTAATAATATTTTCTGTTGAAATTCTTTTTTTATCTCTGTAAATTAACCTTTTATAAAGCCATTTCATAAAGCATATGATTTTAATTTTTTTTCAATCAGGAATGAAATAAATATCGACATTTTGATTTTAAGATTTACCCACCCTGACATAACCTGACTATAAGAATGAAAAGAATGAAAAGTTAAATAGGATTAAAAAAAAATAACTACGTTTTTTAAATAAAATCCTACAATCGTCAGTAATTTGTGACTTTATTAAGTCTATTTGGGGGGAGGGGGGGTTGTTATGGCGTTTACACATCACTCGGAGCTTCTTGCATGTCTCGTATATTTATTTGAATGGAGTGTAGCGGAGTAAGCCTAGGATTGCCGGTTGTGCACATTATGCCAAAATGATCTTAATTGATGTTTTCGTGCTGAAATTTCTACCGAGAACAGTGTGTATATGGATTTTCAGGGGCGAGGTGCATTTCACATCGTCTATGGTTCTATACATCACTGATTTTCTTGTTCTCATTGGCACTGAATACGAATTTAATTGATTATTTAATTTACATAAATATAACTGTCTATCAACTTCCATATTACAGTAATGTTTAGATTACACATCTACAAGGTGTGGATCATCCGGTACCCTTGACTTGTTCAACATTGAATAAAATATTGTAGAAACAACGTACAAACTCGTGAATAATGTGACACATAAAAACAGATTATACCTACATATCAATTATATTTTAACAATTTTATTAAACTCACTATACTCTGAAAGTCGAATTAAGCAACTGACTTTTAATTGAATGCGTTGGATCAAGCCTAGATATATACGTAACCTTGAACAAATTAAATTCCTCAATACTTTAACATGAGAATTAAAGCATTTTTTTCTTTTCACAAAATTGTAAAA